CCATGTTTAGGAAATAGAAGTCATCAGGCCTGGTGATGCTTAAGGCAACAGGTATGAGGCTCGCGTCGGGGGAATGCTTCTCTTCTTCCACATTCTTGGATTCTTGAGCTTCTTTGCGGGCACTCTCCTTCTTCTTGTATTGTTTGAGATGTCTGTCCTGGATAAGTATCTCAATGGCGTCCTTAAGGTGGATTCAATCGTATGTATTATGCTCGTGGCTTTTGTGAAATCTACAGTGTTTGCTTTTGTATGTCCCATGCTTGGACAGTGTTTGACGGGGAAATTGGACCCCAACTTGCTTGAACTCTAAATTGGCGCATTCTGTCAGAATTCGGTCACAAAGCATTGAGAGGGGTGTAGTCGTGGAAGCGACCAACCGACCCCGGTAGTCTTTAGAATCTCAGGATTTGTCCTTCCTCTTCTTTTCTCCTCCCCGACGGGATATCAAGGGCTCATCATTCTTTGAGACTTTCCCATTCTCCCTATTCCGCGAGTCCCTCGCATTGTTAGCTGCCTCCTTTTCTTTGTATTGTATGCACGCATGTGCTTTAAGCAGGAGGGCATCTAGGGTGGCTGGTGATTAGATGCTAACTGCTTTGGCAAAGTCGCTATGGGGATGAAGCTCACGCTCGAGGAGATACTTTTTCATGTCGTTGATTGTAGAGACCTGTACGGCTTCCTTGTTGAAGCACTCGATATATGCCCAGAGGGATTCATCCCTACTTTGGATGATCGCCTCCAAAAATGATTTCGACTTGGGATGTCGGCGAGATGCTGTAAAGTTCCTGGAAAATTATCTTCTCAAGTTCTTCCATAACGTGATAGATTCGTCTAGAGGGCTCTTATACCAAGTCATGCCTCCTTTCTTGAGCGTTGTAGGAAAATCTGACATTTAATTGCTCCATGAACCCCTGTAATCGAGAAGCTCATCGATGTTCTCGATGTGCTCGTCAGGGTCAGTGGTTTCGCTGTATGTCCCTAATAGGGGAGGTTTCTCCAGGCCGATGGGGAGAATGGTCTCCATGATCTCTCTTGATAATGGGACGCGGGACTCATCTTTGTCGCTTACCTCGGGAGATGGTGGCGGGAAATGATGGTTCCTTCCTCGTCAGAGGATGTTGTCCCATCAGAGAGATGTGCTTCTTCGTTGTTGTCTTAGCTTGGGCGACACCGAACGATCGCGGTCAAGTCAGAAGTCTCTCTTTGTCTTCTTGGAAGATGGGAAGCCTTAGTCTTTTCGGGGAGGTGTGTGGTCGCGTTTCTTGAGGAAATAAATGACTTGCTTCTTCCTTCTGGTTGGACAACCACGCCTTGGTGGAGATAGGCTCAGGGAGTCATATCGCCAGTGTCTCTGAGAAGGAGACTTTGATCTTTTCTTCTCCAAGGCCCCAATCCTATTGCTCTGTTGTAGGATTAAGGCATTGGTTTGGTTGAGGGTAGAGAGTAGTGCTGCCATGGACGAATTAATGTTATACGAAATAGGAACTGGTTATAGGATTTCTGGAAACTTCTTGGTAGGGTTCTTGGACCTCTGCTCGTCCAAGAACTGGAGACTACCGCACTTGATATTGACGAATCTGGGGACGTTGTTCGTCTATCCTAGGCATAGAGGAAATCCTCAATATGAGGATGCTTTTGGCTTCCGTCTGTCTTGTGGACGGGAGAGAGTATAGTCTTTCCAGAGAGGTGGTGGTCATCATGGTCGGCCATGAATGAAGTAGTGAAGGTATCTTTGGTCTTCATTTTTGAGGAAAAGGAATACGGGGAAGATAGTTTTCCACAGACGGCGCTATTGATCTTACTGGTTGATCATAACCTGAAAGTGGGTCGAAGGATGATGTCACCTTGGCTGGAAAGTTGAGGAGAAAGGGGGGTGTACATATAAGACACTCTGATAATCAAGTAAGAATGAGTGCAAAGAGATACAAGAAAGATATTAGGGGTTTAGGTGTGAATATTGGATACCTGGCCCTCACAAGGGTGAAATTTTATATAATAGCACTGGCGCTTGGCCATTGGTCTCTATTTTTGGACCTAGATATGTGGGTCCGCAAAAATAGGTAACTGTCAGAACTTGGTCAAAATGGACAACCGTGCATGTAACTGGTCGTTGCACCGAGCATGATATAGATTATGGACAGAAGCGATTGTGAGTGTTTCCTGGGTGTCTGCTCTTCGTGTGTCGAGCAGACTGGGAGGTTGCTTCCCGCGAGGGCAGGTGCGTGTCCCGGGCATCGTTGGTCTTTCCGCTTGAGGGGTATGGTCGACCAAGAATGATGGCCCAACGTTGTTGGACCATGCCAAAGATAGAAGCAGATTGACCCCGTCCAGAACAACTTCATATTTCTACTTCTAGAAATACACGTAAGCATTGCTAAAATATCATTGGTGAAAGTCACAAAATATGTGGAATCACCCATGAAAACATCTTTGGTAGGCCCTCACACATCTAAATGCACATATTTTAAAATTCTCTTTATTTTGTACTTTGTGGACTTGAACTGAACACAAAATTGTTTTCCAAGTGGATAATAATTGTACAAATCCAATTTGAAACTATGAACACCCTTTAATAGATTTCTCTTATGAAGTTCCATCATCCCAAGTTCGTTGAGATGACCCAAACACACATGCTAGATTTGGTTGCATCATTATCAAACTCAACTGATGCAACATCATCTACAACAACGTTATATATAATCGTTTGTAGATGTTACCTGTAATTCTCCTTTCTCTCATCATATTCAAGACACTCTTGCTAACTTTCATAATTCCCTTATCTCCATCAGGTTCATAGGATAAACCATTCGACATTAGAGTATCTAGGAAAATCAAGTTCTTCCTCAATTCTGAAATATATTTGACATCATTCAATGTTCACACGTCACCATTGTTCATGATAATTTTAATGTTTCATTCCAGTGATAGTACATGCTTTATCATCACCCAGATAAACAAATCCAAAATTACTTGACTTGAATGTACTGAGTCATTCATGGAACGACGTCATGTGGTAAGAACAACCAAAGTCAATAATCCACACATCTGCATACTTATTGGATGAAACACATAGTATATCAACTTCATTATCATAATCATTGGTCTGAACCACATTTGAAGAACTGGATGGGTCATGTTTTTGATTTGGACAATCTCTCTTCCAATGTCCAATCTGTTTGCAACTACAACACTCAACTATTTTCCTATTCTTGGATTTAGACCTCTTCTTTCCAGAACCCGCTTTACCCTTATTCAACCCACGATATTGACCCCCTTCACATGCATACTGCCGCCATAGTTCTTTCCTTTACACTTTATCTTCTTTGAGAATGAGACAAAGTGTAGAAGTAATCACATAAAGACTAGTAATGTTTTTCTGTAGGTAAGATTAGTCAGCAAGTGGTCATAAGAACCTTGTAACGAGTACAACAAAATAATTGTATTATCTTTGTCATCAATCTCCACCCCAATACTCACCAGATCAATGATTAAATTGTTGAAGACATTGACAAGTTGTTGCAAATCAGATCCTTCCAACATCTTCATATTATATAGTCGCTGTTTCGCGAACAATTTATTCATCAACATCTTTGACATTTATTTACTCTTCAATTTGTCACAAACCTCTTTCGATGTTGTTAGGTTCACGATATGATACATCACCTTGTCTGAAACACATATGTGAATAAATTCCACGACCTTATCCTGCATCTCTACCCAATCAGAATTATTCATGCCAATTAATTTTGACTCATTCAGTTCTTTCTATAAACTTTGTTGAGCTAACAAATCTTTAACTCTTCTTTACCATAATCCAAAATTATCCGTCCGTTAAATTTTGTCACCTCGAATTTCGGACCAGAATTAACCGTCCTTTGATGCCAATTATTAGAACAACCATTATAGAAGATTAAAGACAATGAACACGATCAATTTTTGTTAACGTAGTTCAATCAATGGTGTCTACCTCTACAACTATAGAACAACTATAGTTTCCTTTTATATATATATATATATATATATATATATATATATATATATATATATATATATATATATATATATATATATATATATATATATATATATATATATATATATATATATATATATATATATATATATATATATATATATATATATATATATATATATATATATATATATATATATATATATATATATATATATATATATATATATATATATATATATATATATATATATATATATATATATATATATATATATGTGATTCAATTTATAATAATATCCCTAAACCGCACGGCAACAACGGCTGCCCCTATAACCCCAATCACCTATCCACAACTAACAATTGAGCATAAAACCCGTTTGAAATTTTCATCTTTATCTTAATATGAATCATATTTAACAATTTGTCGTCTTAAAGAACACTTTATACGGAGGATAAACAGAGAAAAATAGCGTCTTTCTTTTAAAAGGCTACAAAAAAAAAAGCTAGTTTTGAATTTTAAATTTGATTTTAAAACCATTTTTTCAAAAGTAAATTGAAACCAGTTATATACCCGTTTTTTTACTAAAAAAAGTATGACTAGGTTTTAAAATCCGACCTATTGTGATACTAGTTATTATGATTTGATGTTGGTTGTTTACTTTGCACAACCTGTTTTGAGAACTTGAAAATGCTGAGAAAGTCACAATTGCATGAAACAGAACTAAGCCTAAGAAGCTTTACATTGTAGTTGTACAATGTGCTCACTTTGATAAAACCTTCTTCACCTGTCAATTAAGTCAAAGTGGCTGCTTCACAAATGAATTTTCACTATTGATGAGTGTAAAATATAGACATCATTTAACTAATTTTTTGAATTTAAACAGACATAACATATCAAATACAGAACTTCTCAATTACATCTCTGAAACAGCCCTAAAGCAAAATCCCTATTTTAGGCTCCACTACTCCAGCAACTTAATGATTATGAAGCATCAAGCACAAACATCAAATGAATGTGAAAAAATCAGTCCAAAAATACAGCTTTGCATTTTCTTATGGAACGATGCATACCAAAACTTTTTGCAGGGCAACCTGGTGGAGGCAACAAGTGACTTTCATTATAGTTGATAGAAACAAGACAAAGACCATGCGGTGGAAGATAAAACGCGTATTTTGCAAGCTCCCTGCGATCTCGGCTTGCCAAAATATGTGGAACAATGTCCGGAGGAGTCGCTTCCTTACCTACTTGAAGCAATAAAGCCACCTAAAAATGCAAACAGATGCATGTCATTAGTATTACCTTTCATTATTATCAACTATACAGTAACTTTGCAATTGCAGAAGACTTTTTTTACGAATACCATGTTTCGGACTTGTCTGTATAAGAAACCCGAGCCTTCAACTTCTAGCTGCAAAAGAGCTCCCTACACACAGATGTTGAAATGATCAACTTAATAGAATTCCTAGTTCTTGAAAAATAAACCAAGATACTTCAATCATGGCAAATATAGTGCGAAATACTAATAGCGTTAACGGTAGAACTAGTTGAGTACCATTTCTTTCACGTCAAATCGGAAAATATGCTTCACTGGATCTGGTACGCGATCATTATGAGATGCATTTTCGAAAGCAGAGAAATTGTGCTTCCCAATAAAATATTCTGCAGCTTCTCTCATAGCAACGCTATTGAGTTTATACAGACTATGGTAAGCGAAATGGCGTTGGAATGGATCCATGACGGTATCACTGTAGATCTTGTAATGATAAATCTTACTTTTTACAGAAAAGCGAGCATGGAATTCAGCGGATGCAGGGCTGATCTCTCTAAGTCGGATATCGGAAGGAAGAAGACCATTCAAAGCCGCGTGAACTCTATCCAAGTTTTCGTAATTAAACGGTGTAATAAAATGTGCAACCTGCAGTGACAACAAGATATGAAATTCTAACCCAGTGGTTGCTAGTTGAAAGATGAAAATGGCATACCTGACCCCAGGCATGAACTCCTGCATCAGTTCTGCTTGCACCAACTAACTGAAGATCCTTCCTTTGAAGCTTTGTTGTTTGAATTAAAGCTTTTTCGACTGCGTGTTGTACAGTAGGGGGAGACTCTTGATATTGCCAACCTGAAAATATAATCACCATTCAATATAATGGAGAAAAAGGAAAACATTATCCACATGGATTAAGAATTTATATACCATATACAAATAAACATTTCTTTTTGAACTCAAACTAACCATTGCCATTGAGAACTCTATGTTTATCTTATAAGAATAATAGTCACAAAATGAAAAGAGAAACATACCTGCATACCTGGTTCCATCATAGGCCAAAACCAACCGCCACTTATACCCATTTTGAATGGGTTTCTCTTCCACTGCACCGGCAGAGTTGAACTAAAACATTCATCAAAAAGATAATTGTTAGCAATTGAGATGAGAAAGAGAAGAAGAAAGGAAGTGGTGGAGAAAACATTCAATTTAATTCATACATACGGAAAGACGAGGAGTTGGAGATGGAAATGGGGCAACAAGGACTGCTGCACAACTCATCTTGCAAACATCAAGTCTATTAAGGTTGTTAATGTTTCGCCTTCTAAACCCTTTTTGCTTTTTAAGAAGTGTATTGAAAAAAGAAAATGGTTTTTTTTTATTTTATTTTTTAAACACTCGTCTACCATTCATTTATTATTCATATAAACAAAATTGTAATTTAGAAGATTTTCGTTTTAAATAAACATTTAAAAAAAATGTTATACAATTCCTTAATGTTAGCGAGTTTTGAATTTAGTCTTTGATAAAGTTTTTTTTTTAATCTCCCTTTATCTTATGTAAATTTTCTCACAAAATTCTTAAATATCAAGTGGTATGGAAGATTCACATATGTCTGTTACAGCGTTATAAAATGACACAAAAGACACATAGTACATAAGTCTATTACAATATTACAAAATGAAACAAGCACAAATTAACACAAGCACAAAATGATACAAAAGGCACGTAAAGTGCATAGGTCTATTACAACATTACAGAATACTTAATCTCTCATTTTCTTGGTCTTCATAAACTTAGTTGACACTCCAAGCTTGGAGTCTTTTGCACATGATTTGTCTTTAATTTTTGTTATGGTAATTGGTTGGTCACTAGAAGATCCTTGGCCTATAATTGGTTTTTTAAACCAACTCAATTTTATCCTTTCACTTTGCCTTCTTTTAATGGCTGACTTCTTTCCCACCTTTTTTATTGATTGCTTTTGAATTGAGTCAATAACCCAAGATCCAATTTGATTCATAACAATTGGTACTTTGATCTGGTTTATGGGCTCTACATGACTATGCACTGCATTCTCACTCTGCCCATCAATATGCATTGCAACATCAGAAACCATTGCAATCTCTGTCTGGCCATCAGTAGGAACTGCAGCCTCAGTCTAATTTTCAGTTGGCAATGCATCATCAGTAGCCACTATAGTCCCAGCTTCAGCAGGTTTTTGTTCATTTTTAACTTTTCTCTGCATAAATGACAAGATGTTATGTTAGGCATAAACAAATATAACACAGTTGATTGAATTGTAAGAAACACACATTAGCTTTATTTTAAGTGCATTGGGGTCCTATGTCAAGGCCTTACAAGTTAATGCATTGTGACCAAACTTATCACAATTGGTGCACTTATATGCAACATCATGTCTTCTCTTCCTTGCACCATCCTCTCCGCTTTCTCTTATCCTAACCTTCCCAAGTCTTCTTGGACCATTTTTATATGCAAGTGGTAAGAGTTGTTCCATTTCAACTTCTGACCACATATCTTGACCATTGATAGGACTTACAGAATAACCATAACAAAGTACAAATTTTTCTCTTGTGTAACACTCATCAACAAAGTCATCAGGGTTTTGCTTCCTGTAGCTCAAAGCAGCTACCGTATGCCTACAAGGAATTCCTACTAATTCCAAAAAGTTACAGCTACATGACCTTTTTGCATTGTCAATAATAAACTCTTGAGTGTTGAAACTATGTGTAACCTAAAATTGCTCAGCCATGGACCAAGTTGGAAACCAATGTCCATTGTTGAACACTTCATTATCTAACCTCCTCATAGGTATTGGCATCACTCTATGTTGCCACTTTTCAAGTTTACTAGCAGATGTAGCTAACATATTCATAAGATATTTTCTTATCCATTCACACATAGTCAGTATAGGTTTGTCCCTAGCAACTAGAATTGTAACATTAAAAGACTCTAAAATATTATTCATCAAACCATCACACTTAGGGTAAAAAGTGAAGGAATGCTTACACCAACTATGGGTAGGGACTTCCATTAACCAAGTCTAAGTATTGGGATCTACCTTCTTTAATTCATTCATCTTTTGGACCCATGCCTGGTAGTATGTAACCTTAGTAGCTCTCATCATCAAATCTCTAATCAGGGATCCACCACCAAACCTTTTCTTGAAATTAGCATACAAGTGTATGAGACACATTCTATGCTCAATTTTGTCAAACATTTCCTCAAATACAACTACAAGTTCCGAAACAAAATAGTATCACTTGAAAGATTAATTATAGAACCAACATACAAAAGTACAATGAAATAAAACAGGAATGCAGTACCTTCTATTGATCAGAGATAAATACAATATCTTTTCTCCTGTCCGATATCTTCCATCAATAGTTGTATGAACCATCTCCAACTATCATTTGTTTCAGTTTTAACCACACCAAATACCAAAGGGAAGTATTGATCATTGGGATCCCTACCCACAATAATTAGTAGTTACCTACCATATTTGATCTTCAAGTGACATCCATCAACCCCCACAAAATATATGCATTCATTTATAAAGCCTTTCTTACAGCCATAAAAACAAAAGTAAAAGTAACCAAACCTTGGTTGTATGGATGGACATAGTCTTTCAACATTAATCTTTACAGTGTTGCCGTGATTTAACCTTATTAACTCAGTTGCATACCTCCATATGGATGCATATTGATTATCAGTATCACCTTCAATTATCTTCTTTTCTATCAACTTAGCCCTTCATTCTCTTGCAACACTAATACCCAGAATTTTTTTTCCTAATATCTTGTATGATATCTCTTATCCTAATTGTTTCAGATGTTTGCACCCTTTTTACCACATGCTTGGCCACCCACTTTGAGCTTTCATATTTGTTTTTTAAACCCCTAGCACATATGTGGGTATCTAAAAGTGTTTTTATAGCAAAGGTGTGCTTGTGGCCCATTTTAGAGCATAAGACTAAAAACCCACATTTTTCCTTACACTCTACCCTTACCCTATATATCTCTCATTTTTCACAAATGTAATTTCCCTCCCATTGAGCATTGACCACTCACGAATAGCCTCCATAAAGTCAACAAGTGAATTAAATTTAATACCTCACTTAAATTTATAGTCCTTGTTGAGGTGCTCTTTCCTAAATCTCTCATACTTGGGCCTTTCATCATCACATGAATCATCTGGGTCAGAACTTTTCAATTCATCATTATGGTAATCATCTTTATCCATTTTCTTATTGGGCCTACACAAAATTCCACTAAGACTTACATCTTTATTGATGGGCAATGTTACACCAATTTCTTCAAAGCCATCAACAAGAGCAGTAGCTCTATCATCTTCATTATCATCTAACCCTTTAACCAACTCCTCTTATAACCCATCCATTTCCTTCACATCATTAACACACTTAGGTTCCCTATCCACACGATCAATATTTTCCAAACAATGTTCCACAAATACATCTCCATCAATAGCCATTGCACTGAAGTATGAAGCAAAATCGTATGCATCATCATCTTTTCTTATCATAATAAATACATCTTTAATTTCTAATACTTTTGTCTATAACTTAAAACTACCATCCTTATACCCCCACTTACTCACCAACTTGCCAATGATATGCATTGTCCAGTTCGCAACGTGAACCCTAGTAACAGTCGAATCACCCCCTTCTGTAAATAACTTCATTTGGATTGACCCTTATAAATTCACCCCATGGTGAAAAGTAACATTAAAATATTATGAATCTTGTGAAGAAAGCATACCCAATTATCAAAAACTCTGATTTCCCAAAAAAAACATACCCAGTTACCTTAATATTACTAGTTAACAATGAGGAACTTTAAAATCAACTTACCTGAGACATTAAAAGCTTCATTGTATTTGATTATGTGTTTGTATTAGTCATCGTCTTCGATTATGATCATGTGAGCCTTCATCTTCATCTTCGAAATGTACCAAGCTTCATCTTCTTTATAGATGGCTCTTCTTTGCATGAACCCTAACTATTGCAGGGGGGTATTTGAAATGTATATATATCCAGTAAGCTACAAATTGAATAAAACAAAATGCCATGTGCGTAAATAATTATACCACGTGGAGAGATTTTGAAATAATAGGTGAATATTCCATTCCACTTTACATTTGAAGGTTCTATGAGGGAATCTAAATAAGATAAGGGGGATTAAAACAAACTTTTACAGGGGCTAAAACCAAAAATCACTAACATTACAGGGGGTTGTATATTTAGCCCTTAAAAAAAACCATGTTTTCAAATATATTCCCAAACTAACCATTTTAAATAAAAAAATTCGAACATAAGAGAATGTGTCACTGTATGTGGCGCATGCACTCTAATTACGCTAAGACGTCATTGCATGTGACACATGCTTATGTGTCATGTCACATACACTGAGACATATACTAAAGCATTAGGAGCAAGCACTACACATGTTGACTCCTATGTTGTTTTGTTATTTTTTTATAAAAAGACCATTCATTTATACCATTTACCACATATCTCCTCATTTCACTCTTAAACATTTTTTCAAAAATGTCTTACATTATCAAAAGAAAGGCTGGACCTATTTTTTCGCCAATAAAGCCTCCAATGAAGATATGACTTTGAAACATAGAGAGTTTCGAGCATTTTTAGAGGAGCTTGATGTGTTGGTTAAATTGAGACATTCCTGATGGTGAAAAGATTAGAAGAATTGATAGACTTGTTACAGTGTTCAATCAAAATGGAGAAATTCGTATTTGGGAGCATGTTAACACCAACAAGGATGTCTCGTATGATGATGCATGGATCAATTGATATTGTCTTAATGGTTGTAATCTCATAGATATGTTAATGTGTTTAGTAATTTTATTTGTTTATTGGGTTTTTGTTTATGTATGATTGTCTTTACTTTGTTGTACCTGAATGTTGTATCGAATATGAAATAAAAGTTGAATTTAATATGAAATTTCATGGTTACAACAAATAAATTACATATCAAGAGTGGCATACAATAATAATGTTACGGAGCTTAAACTAGGATCGGTATAATTTTTTCCATTGTCCGGGTTGACGATGTGTACTGCATAATTTTACCATTTTGTTTGTTATATCCATTTTGGTTCAAATACGCATGTTGTTAGGGTGATGATTTTTATTCTTTCGCATATGCTCATTATGCCAAACAATGTCCCATTGAAAAGTAGACCAATAATTCTCCTTTTATACCATCGAGAATTTATTGTTGTAC